TAGGATGAAGATGGAAGGGGTGCGGGAGGGCAGGGGTTAAAGGTGGAGTGCAGATGGAAGACCCTGGGAGCGGGGGAGGGAGATCCTGGCAGACCCTAAGAAGGGCTCATGGGTCATGGTCTCTGACAACCCCTGGGAAACAGCCAATAGGAGGAGCAGCTGCCAGAGGCAAAGCAGGCTCTGGGCACTCACCTTCCGGTGGTCGTGGAGTCCAATCCAGACATCATCCTGGGAGTCTGACTCGGTGATGTATCTGGCCACCATTTTCCCTTCTGCCTCAGTGAGAATGGAGGTGAGATGGGCCCCATTGTGGAGATACTGACACTCCATCTGCAGCAGGGACATCAGCGAGGCCTGTTACCCCCCTGCAGGAGGACGCTGTTTGGCACTGGTGTGGGGTCCTGCCCCACCAGGCTGCAGCAGGAACAGGGATGGCTGTGAGGGGAGAGAGCTCCCTCTCGATGCCTCTTCCCGAGCCCCAGGGCCTCCACCAGTCACGTCACTTCTACAGCCTCCCCACCCCACCTCTGCAGGGATACCCCAGGGCCAATAGTGATGTCACCAAACCCCTTCAGACCCTGCCCACTAACCCACCCTGCCCGGTGGATCCCTGAGAAAAGCTTCGTACCTCAGCGTCTGACCAGGTCATCTTTTCAAGGAAGAACCCATAGCAGTGGCCTTGGTAGAGCAGCCAGTCACTGGGACAGGACGTGGCCCCAATTTCTGTTCCGAGAGAGGGGATGGGAGGAGGAGAAAGAACAGTGTGGTAAGAGGCTGTTTCGGAGAAGAGAATCGGAGCAGAGCTGCCAGCTGTCATCCTTCCAGCTTGTCCAGATCTCCCAAAATCCTGTGAACGTTTGCCCTCTTTCAAAATGGCCACTATCTCCTATTACTTTCAATGGGGCTGAAGCCAGTCAGTTAAAACAGCTGCCACTCCCTTTCTACCTTTGTCTGTAGCAGTGAGGCTGTCCTAGTAAAAAATACCACTGTCTCCTTCCCGAGGGGACAGGAGCTGGGCTGCCCTCAAGGAAGATGATCTGTTCAGGAGCACTGGGGAACCTGATGGGGTGAAGTATCAGGGGGTTACGTCAGAGTACACAGGGGACTGTGGGGTGAGGATGGAGAGCACTGGGTGTCATGGGGACACTGGTGAGGCTGGGAGCAGAGGGGAGGTTGGTGGCACTGACGTATAGTAGAGGCTGAATGGACACCACACACTGATTTGCCAACCTAGTGAGCAGGGCTTAGAACTAGGTTCAAAAGGGGCGGGTGACAAAATCCCACAGGTGACCTTAACAGAAGGCGAAATATTGGCGGGGGAGAGGGGAAGGAAAATTACAATGGGGTCATAGGAGCAACAAGAGGGATAATAGTTCGGGAATCTGCTGTACGTCTCAGATGTCTATACACAAATGCAAGGAGTATGGAGAGTAAATAGAAGAACTGGAAGTATTAGTATATAAGATATATTATGACTTAACTGGTATCAAAGAGACTTGGTGGGATAAATCTCCTGACTAAAATATTGGTAGTGAGAGGTACAGTTTGTTCAGGAATGCCGGGCAGAGAAAAAAGGAAGAGGTGTTGCATTAGACATCAAGAATATTCACTTGTTCTGAGGTCCAGAAGGTCAGAGGCAGATCAATTGAAAGTCTCTGGGTAAAGATAAAAGGGGAAAAAAGAGGGGGTCTACTCTAGCCCAAGATCAAGAGGAGGATAGGGTATTTCTAGAACAAATAACAGAAATATCCAAAAGACAAGACCTGGTACTAATGTGGGGACTTCAGCTTCCCAGAGATCAGTTGGAAAAGCAATATGGCAAAACGTAACATTTTCAAAAGGTTCTTAGAATGTATTGGGGGTAACTTCTTATTTCCAAAAATGGAGAAAGTAAAAAGGGGAAAAGCCACATTAGACTTAATTCTGACTAACGGGGAGGATTTGGTTGCAAATCTGAAGTTTGAAGATAATCGGGGGAAAGTGACCGTGAAATGAAAGATTACATGATTCTAAGGAAGAGTGGGAATTACAGCAGCAGAATAAACACAAGGGACTTCCAAGAAGTTGACTTTAACAAACTCCGAGAACTGGTCAGTAAGGTCCCATCAGAAGAAAATCTAAGGGAAAAGGGAGTGCAACAAAGCTGGCAGTGTCTCAAAGAGACAATATTAGAGACACAAGAGCACACTAGTCTGATGCAAAGGAGAGATAGGAAGAATAATAAGAGGCCAATGAGAGGCCATCAGGAGCTCTTCAATTGCCTGAAAATCAGAAAGGAATCCTACAAAAAGTGAAAACATGGACACATTGCAAAGGAGGGGCACAACAGAATAGCACAAAAATGTACAAACAAAATCTGAAAGACACAAAGGCACAAAATGATGCCACCTAGCAAGGAGTCTAAAAGGCAATAAGAGGAGTTTCTATAGATACATTAGGAGCCAAAGAGAAAGGCAAGTGTACAGCTTAGCTGGGAATGAGAGCTAATAACGGACGGCATCAAGAAGGCGAAGGTGTTCAATGCCTATTTTGCTTCAATCTTCAGTAAAAAGGCAAATGGTAACCGGATACTTAACATAATTAATATTATCAATAAGAGGGAAGGAACACAAGCCATAATAGGGAAAGAACAGGTTGAAGAACGTTTCAATAATTTATATGTTTCCCGGAGGCAGAGCCTGATGAAATTCATCCTAAGATACATAAGGAACTAGCTAAAGCAATCTTGGGACCATTAGCAATTATCTGTGAAAACTCATGGAGAATGGGTGAGGTCCCAGAGGACTGGAGAAAGGCAAACGTAGTACCTGTGATGGGTTTAGTCACAGAGAACCCCTTGGGACTGTCACCTGGTGTGCTGAGACTACCTCTGAGCCCGTTTTCTCTGCCAGCTTGGGACTTCAGAGCTCTGTCTTGTTGAGCCGGATATGCTAATCTGCTGCAACAGAGACCCAGGGTCTGAACCACACCCCCAAAGCTGCAGACTTAACTGAAAACCACTCTGCAAGTGCTCCGGTCTCCGGCACCCAGACACCCAGCTCCCAATGGGATCCAAACCCCAAATAACTCCGTTTTACTTTGTATAAAGCTTATACAGGGTAAACTCATAAATTGTCCGCCCTCTATAACACTGATAGAGAGATATGCACAGCTGTTTGATCCCCCAGGTATTAATCACTTACTCTGGGTTAATTAATAAACAGAAGTGATTTTATTAAGTACAAAAAGTAGGATAACAGACAGAACAAAGTAAATTACCAAGCAAAATAAAACAAAACACGCAAGTCTAAGCCTAATACATTAAGAAACTGATTACAGATGAAATCTCACCCT